GTGTGTGTGTGTGTGTGTGTGTGTGTGTGTGAATCTCCATTATAGTAAACATTTTTTCATTAGTGGGGTTTTTTTGGGTCGATACTGGAATCACTTAACGATATTTTCATCTAATGGCTGTGGAATGGCCACACAAAGTCTTCAAAAATCACGACTTGGAAATAAATGTCTTCTTTTACAACAAGAGTTGTTTTATTTATTTATAGATAGATCTAAGTCTTGCCATCCTCACAATAGTCCTAGCGTCTATCCATCTATCTGTGGTCAGGTCCAGGAGAGAAAAAAACCCAGATGCTTCATTCTCAACACTCCTCAGATTCTCCTGGAGATCCGGGCCAAGGTGTTCCCAGAGAGGATAGATAATTCCTCCAGCAAGTCCTGGGTCTGCCCCAGGATCTCTTCTCATTGGGACATGCCCACCAGACATTCAGGTTGAGAACCATGGTGTGCCTCACACTCTGCTGTGAACCGTTCCTGTGAACGTTGAAGGTCATGGCCTGAAGACCCCATCAGAGGCACATCACCACCCTCATCAGCCATTCAGCAGACATTGTCCCCATCCTCAATGTGACACTGAAAAACCATGTGAACCATGACAGCCCCACAATATCCAGAGCCCTCAGCATCAAAGGGTGACAATGGTCCACCCCTGGCGCCCTGCCACTGGGTAGCATTTTGACTACCTTGGTGACCCCTGAGTCCTCAGATTCTGCCTCCTCAAAAACAAATGGTGGCTGGATTAAGGATATCTCCTTCTACTGCTCAACAATATCATCTGGATTTAGCAGTTCCCCACTCAAATCAAGCAGGGCTTTGGAATGGGTTCACTTTTCTTTTATTGAAGTTGCCAGAACCCTTTGCCAGAACACTGTTTCTCTGTGGCTTATCTGAAATCCTCCCAAGTTCTTGTATCCACAAGAGTCCTTTAGGTCACCTTATGAATGCTTCTGGTGTCCTGGACAGTCAAGCTCAAACACCTCCTTCTTTAGCTTGACAACCTCCATCACTGCTTGTGTACACCAAATGATCCTTCAGTTGCTGCAACAGGCACCAATGATCTTCAGGCCACAGTTCCTGGAAGACCCCTCTGCAACAGAGGCCCATTCAGATTCCATGTCCCTGACCTGACATGTGACAAACTTTCTCAATCCCTGCCAGACTTGGCTCCAGGGTTAGTGCCCCCAGTTTCCCTTTTCAAGACAGGTGATCCTGGTGTTGTTTATCAGTTAAGGTTTGGAATCACTCTTGGTTTGACCTCTTCCCTGATGCCAGTTTGTCTCAGACAACATTATCTATCTAGTCATTTAACTAGTGCTAAAAATCAGCTGCTTTTTAAAAGTCACTGATATGATACAGTATATGGTATATTTTAAATACATTACATTTTAATGTCATATTGTTGAAGTTTGTTTTAGACTTTGTGCAAATTAGTGATTTCATAGTAAACTAATGAGTCCACAGTCTTTTCCTCTTTCAACAACCCCACTGTCTGCTTCCTGTCTGCATCTACTAAACAGGACTTCTTGTTGACATTGTGGTACCTTAAAACTAAACGAAACAGGTCATGGTTTCAGAAATAGGGTCAGGCCTTCCTATCTGGGGCAAGCGATGTAAAGAAAATGCTGTAAGCTTGCAGGAGGTGCAGCAGCTTGAGGTATTGTTAATATCTTTGACCAAATAGTGGCAGGTGGAAACCAACTCAGAGGGAGAGTTAAGCTATCAGCTCCGGGTTTATTGCTCTGACAGATGGTGATGAGCGAGTAGAGAAAGTGATCCTGCACAAAAAACATGGCTTCATTTCAGTTTTGAGGGAAATGGAACAGTACTGTGAGAGTGGGATGTGTTGAACTCAAGAACCAAAACCCTTTTTCTCCTTACAATAACAGCCAGAGTCCTTTAGAGGTTGTCTTTCTGCCGCAGAGACAGACCCTCTACAGAGGCTGGCCGTTCTTTCCACAGCATAGAGCCGAGGGGGAGCTGTGACATTCCCTCTTTCCTCAGCAACGAAAGCCATGACAACATGTTTTCTGAAGGCAGAGACAATTTCTCCACGGCACTGATTAGGCTGAGCAAAACTCTCTGTGCGTTCAAGTTTTCAAATCTTGAGAAACTTCCAGTTGCGTTTGATCACACTGAGAAAACATTCCAAACATCAAGCAAATCCAAAGTTACATGTAAATGATTAACTTTTAAAGAATTGTATATATTTGGTGGCATCATTTGCTTATGCATGTAAGACTGAACTACTGTAGTTGTTTAGTATATGTCTATGAAAAGCACCCATTCAATTTAAAATGCAAGAGAATAGACTGCTCAAAGTAAACTAACTGTAAATACTTTGCTTAGTATTCACACAGGGGTGATTAGTTTTTTCATCGTTTCACTATTTTTTGAATCATACTGAACTGAATCCTGTGATTGTTCTTGTCTGTTTTCCCTTTTTTCAGTTTCTGTTCAAATTCACAGATTCTCATTATGTTATTTTGAACTGGATTACAATTTAAATTCAGATCTGACTGGACTGAAAACAACTTTCTCTTTTTCCTCTGTCTTTCTTCCTTTCTTTCAATAGCTCTACATAAACAGATGAATACAAATCAGTAGAAAGTTAATGTTTATGATACCTGTTACAGCAACTAGGCTCCTCTAAGAGAATCATAGATGTGCTTTGCTGTTAGTTTAAACTGTCTTCAGCTGTTTGTTTATAAATCTCTAACAACACAGGTGTCCTGCAGAGTCATTTATCACAAGTGTCTCTGAAATCACAATTTTTCACAAAAGTTTTTTTTTATATAAAATATATTTTCCTGTGAAGCTGAGGACTGCTCTGATTATAAAAAGATAGAGTGCAGGACACTTGTGTCGTCTCTTGTCTTCTAATTGTATCTTATTTATGAGTTCACATCATACTCACAGTAAGAAGCACACTGTTCATCCTCCGATGCTCAGTAAAAGCAACAAGAGAAGGAAAACAGTGAAACACCATGAGAGCAGTTTTAATAAATGTTAGTTATTACATGAAGGCTCTTGTTATTTGCTTAAAATAAGGTGTGTCGTGTAAGTAAGACAGAATAAACAGTCAATATTTTCTTTAACACCATAAAAAGGTTTGCCTAGCCTGGTCGCAGAAGCTGCGAAGTGTCACGTTTCATATTTATTTTAGATAAATGACTGAGTTTACACTGAACCAAAGGCTTTTCTTAACCTCCTTGAGTTGAACCTTGGTGCCCCCGTTTTATTAATAAAAGACATTTCAGGTGGTCCAAGTTTCTGAAAATAAAATAAAAACACTTTCCCTTCCCTAAAGACATCATCTCATGAGTGATCATAATATTCTGCGACTAAAACACATGTTGAAGATTTTCAGTTTCTTCTTTATTCTGCCACTCCAGAACATAAGCTTTTATTTTGAAGGAATTTGAACAAAATCTAATTTAACAGAAGGCTCAATAGATGCTGTCCACAAGCTTTTTTGTTTGCATTCTCTGCAAAAGAGCAAATTGCAAACCAACTTTTTGTATGTTTTGTGTTAAATATAGACTTTATTGTCCTTGCAGTTCACTCTAATCCAAATCCAGACTGTAAATTCTGCCAAACTTCACCTACAGAATCAACAGTAAAACAACAGCCTCTTTGAAAGGTTTTGGAGTCTCAGGTCCTGCTTCCTTTCAGCATCCCTCCACACAGAGAGCAGCCTACCTTCCTCGTAGCCCCAGTCCAGCTCATCTTTCCCAGGGGCATAATCTGACTCCTCGATCGCGTTGTTGGCCATGGTGCTCTCCAGCCTGGGTCTGAACCAGTCTGCTGACCCACTACTTATGCTGGTTCCTGTTCTTCACTCTGACACAAAGTGGGGGATGTGTTGGAAAGATTTCCTTTTAGAGAACTAAATCTTTTTTTTTCCCCTCTATTTAGTTTGTTCAAAGTTTTCCAGTCTCCTCTCCTCAGGTCTGCTGCTGAACTCTTAAAGCAGATGAAGAACTCTGCCTCTCTGTTTCTCTTTTCTCTGTTGCTCCTCCTCTCTCCCTCTCTCTCTCCCTCTCACTCTCTCTCTTCTTTGCTCTGCTCTTACCATGCTCTCCTCCTCCTCCTCTCTTTCTTCCTCCTCCTCTGCAGGCTGCAGGTGTGCCGGCCCTCTGTGGCCTTCCTCCAAACAGTGCTTGTTTTTCATCCACCCCCAAAAACCCACGTTCACTTTCATGAGTAAGAAAGAAACATAAGTTACAGAAAATTGAATGTTATTGGGGATTTTATTTCATCACTCGAACTGTTGACCTTGCCGCTGTGTGTGTGTGTGTGTGTGTGTGTGTGTGTGTGTGTGTGTGTGTGTGTGTGTGTGTGTGTGTGTGT